TTTAATAACTTTTCCCAACAAACTCAGATTTATTTTCCTTCAAAAACAAAACACAAAAAACAGGTTACTGGGGTTAAGTAATGCTATGGAGCATTGTAATCAGTAATTTTTTGAAAGTTCTCATACAAAAAAGTTGTATGATTATTATTTGAATGGGTCATTTTAATAATACCTGCATTTGAGTTATACTTGTGTCTTACCTAACAAGATTAGCTTGTAACGTTATGTCAGACAGACTCGAGTAGTAAACCATAACCATTCTCTGGAATCACAATGAAGAACATGCTAGAGAACACCAGCTACCAAAATAGTGACTGTTCTGAGTTTAGAAGGTAGGGGCATACAATCGACTGTCTTCCCATAGTTGCCTTCTTAAAACACCTTATTTTCATATGCATTTCTGAGGTACTGATCACTTTAGTATCTGAGCCCTTTTTATATATCATTTTCAATGTACAAAATTGTCCCAGTTGGGAATATAGCTCATCCTCCTCCTTTGTGATAGGCTTACTTGAAGGGTCAGCTTCCAAGTAGAACCTAAGTGTCCCTGTAGAATGTAGCTACTTAGCAACCTCCCACCCAGCCAAGTAGAATGTAGCTACTTAGCAACCTCCCACCCAGCCAAGAAGTAAAGATAAGTCTATTGAGAACTACCCAAGTTGCACACCATCTTGATAACTTGGGACAGATGCCCTCTAATGAAGAAGTGATAAAAGACTACCAGTTCTTCTAAGCATTTCCCCTCCCTTCTATCAACACACACTACCTCTGTTTTGCCCATACTGAACCTCAGATAGCTGGTTATGATATAGGTTTCTATTTTGGTAAGATACTGCCATAAGAATTAGCACTCAATGAGAGGAGGACTTCAATAGCTCAGACATAGGTGAGAGGTTTATTGCAGGAGTGGGTGGGTGAAATTCTGTGGCCTGCATTGTGCAGCAGGTCAGACTAGATGATCATAATGGTCCCTTCTGACCTTAATATCTATGAGTCTATGAGATGAAGAGCTGGGGGGAGGACGACAGGGGAACAGGTTATTGGTGGCATCATAGTCAATAGTTTCTCTCTCCAAGTGGTGTCACAAATATTGACTAAGAAAGAGCAAAAGATTAGAGCCCTCAGATCTCTGCATTTACAGAACATCTTTCAAACTCTGCAGATCTCAAAGCACTTTACAATCAGCCAATCCCTGACTCAACAAAATAAAAACAAAATAAAATAAAATCAATGAAGAAGTCATATTAAAGTCAAGCAGAGATTAAATGACTTGTCCAAGGTCAAACATTCAGTAGCAAAGCGTGGAAGAATCCAGAAATCTGCCTCTCAGTCCCCTACTCTGATGACATTCCCCCCTTCAGAAAGAAGCCTCAAAATGTTTGCATAACCAGCAAATACATTATTTGAATATGATGCAACAATTGTGTACATATACCTTCTTATATATTACATATCAAGAATAGGATGACCACTGGTAAAAACATTTGGCAGTAATGTTTAATTATGACTGTCAATTCATTCTTTATTCTCTTGCTGAAAACTGCTTCCCCTTGTCAGAAGGTAAAATCAGAAGTAGCCTCTTAAAAGGAAAGAGGAAGAGCAATTCTCAAGTCAAGTCTCATATCAGTCCATCAGAACCATTTCGGCCAAAGCACAGATAGAGAAATACGACAGCCAGGAGGAATTATTAAACTAAAAAGCATGTGAGCTGCTGGCCACTTGCATTGTATCATTCAAGTGTTAGAAGCAGTTTAATCTTTACAGCAGAAAGGGAGGCCCATTATAGAGCAGAAAACATCAATTTGAGTAAAGGTTACAAATTAAGGTCCTAAACCTGCATAACTGACTATACAGATAAGAAAGAGAATTCATATAAGTAAACTTGTACACATACATAAGTGCTTGTAGGATCAGGACTTAATGATATTTAACCAGGAAAGTTCTCTCAATTGTCAGTGAGCCTGTATTTAAAAATAATTCACCATTTTATTACATGTTGGTGCAGTAACGACCTAGGATTTCAAAATAACTGGGATATTTGGATTTTACAGAGACACTTGTATACAGTATGGTAGGCCATCATGCTTCAGAGTGAACAAAATAAGTCAGTTGATGGTCACCATGATTTCTCAATCAACAGTATTAATCTGTTACCTGGAGTCACCCACTGCCAGAGGATCTAAAAGTCCTGAATGCTCAACAATCTGGACCCTGCAGCAAATAACAGTACAAGTAGATCTGAACTAAATTACCATATATGTTGATTTATTTATGTATATTATATTATATTCATTTTAGCCACCTTGTGTGTTCTTCTGTATTACTTTTACTCAAAAACAAATTAAAAAGTAAATTTGAATTGAGGATTAATACACATCAAATATATTTTCTACAAGCGTATAGAACGGACAGGCAGCCCAGTCCCTCACCAAGTCTGCCCTGTGACACCACCTTCTTCATATCAACCCTTAAAATGCAACTCTTCCAAAAGGTCTACAAGTCTTAGTCTCCATCCCTCTGGCACACAAGTGTGTTAGCCAGTTAGGTGGACTGAAACAAGTCACCCAAACTTTTTTAAAAATCAAACAAGCCATGTGTCAAGGTTCCTCCCCCACTCTGAACTCTAGGGTACAGATGTGGGGACCTGCATGAAAAACCTCCTAAGCTGATCTTTACCAGCTTAGGTCAAAACTTCCCCAAGGTACAAAATATTCCACCCGTCATCCTTGGATTGGCCGCTACCACCACCAAACTAATACTGGTTACTGGGGAAGAGCTGTTTGGACGCGTCTTTCCCCCAAAATACTTCCCAAAACCTTGCACCCCACTTCCTGCACAAGGTTTGGTAAAAAGCCTCACCAATTTGCCTAGGTGACTACAGACCCAGACCCTTGGATCTTAAGAACAATGAACAATCCTCCCAACACTTGCACCCCCCCTTTCCTGGGAAATGTTGGATAAAAAGCCTCACCAATTTGCATAGGTGACCACAGACCCAAACCCTTGGATCTGAGAACAATGAAAAAGCATTCAGTTTTCTTACAAGAAGACTTTTAATAAAAATAGAAGTAAATAGAAATAAAGAAATCCCCCCTGTAAAATCAGGATGGTAGATATCTTACAGGGTAATTAGATTCAAAAACATAGAGAACCCCTCTAGGCAAAACCTTAAGTTACAAAAAAGATACACAGACAGAAATAGCCGTGTTAGTCTGTATTCGCAAAAAGAAAAGGAGTACTTGTGGCACCTTAGAGACTAACCAATTTATTTGAGCATGAGCTTTCGTGAGCCACAGCTCACAAGTGAGCTGTGGCTCACGAAAGCTCATGCTCAAATAAATTGGTTAGTCTCTAAGGTGCCACAAGTACTCCTTTTCTTTTTACAGACAGAAATAGTTATTCTATTCAGCACAGTTCTTTTCTCAGCCATTTAAAGAAATCATAATCTAACACATACCTAGCTAGATTACTTACTAAAAGTTCTAAGACTCCATTCCTGGTCTATCCCCGGCCAAGACAGAATATAGACAGACAGACCCTTTGTTTCTCTCCCTCCTCCCAGCTTTTGAAAGTATCTTGTCTCCTCATTGGTCATTTTGGTCAGGTGCCAGCGAGGTTACCTTTAGCTTCTTAACCCTTTACAGGTGAGAGGAGCTTTCCCCTGGCCAGGAGGGATTTCAAAGGGGTTTACCCTTCCCTTTAAGGCATGCTACTTTCATTGCATCCCATCCACCACCAGACATAGGCATGTAGAGAGTGCAAGCTCCTGGAGCAGGAACCTTGTCTTCAGACATGTACTGAGCACATAAATTTACACTACTGGCACTTATGTAAATAAGTTATATACAGTCCAACTGCACGCAAAACAAAACTACATCTATTGAATATGAGGGTCAAAACCAACTGTTTAAATTATTGATTAAATAACTGATTAAAAACTATTAAAAAGTTTTAAGCTACTAGAATCATAACTAAAACTTTTTTTTTTACCAAATGCTACCTGTGGCATTTAAATCAGAAAGCAATGGAGTTCCACCGTTTAATCTTCCTTTCCAGTTCTCAAATTTAGAGACACACGTTGTCTTTAAATATTCATACAGATGGCCACAAACCGGGTCCCAAATGCCGTCCCTCGGAGCCATAAAGATCACCAACCTACACTGTTAAACAAATTGTTTACTGGTGTTCAGAAAAGACAATGGGGAGAATTTACGGCTGATATTAGAGGAACTGTGCATTTCTTGGCCTCCAGAATGGGGTGCTTTCTGCCACCAGCTGAGCACAACTTTTTGTGGCAGTTTGTTACACCCCTTCCTCCCCCTCTCCCAAAACTCAACAGTATGGCCCTATGTGGATTAACTACACCCGAGAGTGATATCGAAGACTATTTTAATTAGGAAACAATTCAGCGTGGTTTTCCTTTCCCCAGACTCACGACCAACACTTTACAGAAGCTCATGGAAACCGGACTTGTCCGACTCATGGCTCCTCATGGGACAAGCAGGGGGCTGCCCCAGGCACTCCGCCCAAGCGGCTGCAGAGACCCACGTCGGGGGCTGGCAGGTAGCGGAGGACAATGCTGACGGAGCAGGAAGGCAACACGACATCAAGCGAGGCACTGCACTGCCGCGGCCTTTCCCCGGCCCCTCCGGCAGACAGACCTCTCCATGCCGCCGCCGCCTGCCCCTCCACATGGCTTCCCCAGCGGGCCCCCCACGCCGCCGCGTCCCCCGGGCGACTCCCCTCCTGCCCCGGCTGACGGCAGGAGACTCCCCAGCCCCGTCCTCGCCTACCCCCGCTCTGCCCGGGCTCTTCCCCATCGCCGAGGATCCCGCCAGCGCTCCCCGGCCGAGTCCTGCCCCGCTGCCCCCGCCGGCGGCCCCTCAGGCCTCCCCGCTGCGGCCCCGGGGGCTGAGCGCCTCCTCCCCCGGGCCAGGCCCGGCGCCTGTCCTGCCGGCGGCCGGGCTCCTGCTCCAGCCCAGGCCCCGCTGCGCCCTCACCTCATTGAGCTGCCTCTCGGCGGCTTCCCGCAGAGCCGGGTCCATGGTGCCCCGCAGGGCCTCGATGATGGTGTTGGGGTCCATGGCCGGGCCGGGGCGGGGCGGGCGGCGCGCGGGGAGGCGGAGGGCAGGGCAGCGCCGCTCGATGCGCACATGGACTCGCCGCTCCACAGCGGCAGCCGGCGCGAAAGGAAGAGAAGCGCCAAGGCCCCGGATAGAGCAGCTACCTCCGCGCCGCGGGCCAGCAGGGCCCTTCCGCTCCGCCGCGGGGCACCACGGGAGCTGTAGTCCGGGGCAGCGGCCTCCTCCGCCCCGCCCCGCCCCGGGCCAACCTGTGCGCCTGCAAACCGAGCACCCCCCCCCCCGCAGCCCCACATGTGGGGGAGGCCTCCCCCCCCCAAGCAGCGGTGCCCCCCAACCCCGCCCTCGTGGGGGTGGGGAGCTTTCCTCACCCCCCTGGCAGCCGCGTCCAATCGACCTTAGGTTATTTAACCTCTCTGTACCTTAGTTCCTCCTCTGTACAACGTCGAGAATAATTTTTCTCTTTCACAGGAGCGTTGAGAGGATAAATTAATATTTTGGGGGGTTACTGTATTATAGAAATGGGGGCCATGTAACTGTCTGGACCCCTTTAAAGTCCTTCAGTCAGATCTGCTGTCTCCAAATATCGTCTTTATTGGGAGAGTAGGGAAGGACTTTCCTTATATCTCAAAGCCTCGCACTCGCTTAAGGGGAGGAATGTTTTTTCAGGTATGTTTCTTTCTGTTGTTTATAATACAGATAGAATAATGCTGTACAGCACCATGGGTGGTGCATGAGCCCCCCGGCCTCAGCGCCGGGACGGCCTCAGCGCCGGGACACCCCCAGTGCTGGCCCGCTGGCCTCCAGCCAGAGGTGAAGCTCAGCCTCTGCCAGTTTGGGCACCAGCATGGGGTAGAGGGCAGAACATGGGCGGGGCCAGGGCTTGGCTCCCTGCACTCATAATATGAGAACAATAACGTATAGTACAGTCCATAAGTAATTTAGGAGGATGTTAGACCACATCTAATAGGGATAAATATTCTTTAATCAGCGGGCCCAGATACCTTGCACCAAGAGATCTAAAAATTGGCTGAGCAGTTTGCTGGCCCACCTATGCTAATTTTTAATAAGGGGAATTCCACAAGATTGGAAGAGTGTTAATACTGTGCCAATATTCAAGAAGGATGAACAAGATGACCCAGATGACTAGACTGATGTCAACGTCACACGAACTAATGCAAAAGCTGATACAGATTTCGTTTGATAAAGAATTAGAGGAGAGCAATACAATTAATGCCAGTCAATGTCATCATTATTTTATTAAAAGTAGGTCTTGTCAAACAAATGTGATTTCATTGATTAATTTGATTATAAATTTAGTTGATAAAGGTAATTGTGTACATGTAATAGACTTTTTGATTTAGTACTGCACAACATTCTCATTAAAAAAAGAGCACTATACATTATCAATAGAAAAGGAGTACTTGTGGCACCTTAGAGACTAACAATAGAGCACATGTTAAATAGATTAAGAACTGTCTGACCTCAAGATCTCAAACAGTAGTTATCAGTGGGAAATGATCATCAAACAGGGTGTTTCTAGTAAGGTTCCACAGGGATCAGTACTCGGCCTCATGCTATTCAACATTTTCGTCAATGATCTGGAACTAAATATAAATAAAACTTGTGGATGACCCAAAGAGTAGCAGAGTAGTAAATAATGATGTGGATGAGGCAGTTGTACAGAGCCATCTGGACCACTGAATAACTTGGGGGCACTCAAACAAAATGTGTTAATAACGCCCAGTGCAAAGTTATACATCTAGGAACAAGAAATACAAGCCATATGTACAGAATGGGGCACTGTATCCTAGAAAGAAATTACTCTGAAAACGATTTAGGGGTCATTGTGGACAAGCAACTGAACCTGAGTGTGATACTGTGCAAGAAGGGCTAATGGGATCCTTGGCTATATAGGCGGGAGTGGTGAGTAGGAGTGAGGTGGTGATGTGTACATCATTGATGAGTCTGCTACTGGAATATTGCATATAGTTCTGTGGTCCACATTTTTAAAATGATGTTGAAACACTGGAGAGGTGGGTGTAGAAAAGAGCCGCAGAAATCATTCCAGGGCTGGAGAAAATGCTTTTCAGTGAGACAATTAGAGCACTTAGTCTGTTTAGCTTATCAGAAAGAAGATAGAGGACTTGATTACAGTGTGTAAATGACTTCACAGGGAGAAAATGTTGGGTACTAAAGGGATCTGTAATTCAGTGGAGAAAGCTACAACAAGAATCTACTGTTAGAAGCTGAAGCCAGACAAATTCGAATTAGAAGTTAGGAACAAATTTTTAACAGAGAGTGTGATTAACCACTGGAACAAACTGCTAAAGAAAGTAGTGGATTCTCTATCTCTTGATGTCTTCAAATCAAAACCAGACATCTTTTGGGAATATATGCGTTAGCCACACAAAAGTTACTGGACTCAATACAGGGGTAACTAGGTGAAACTGTGGTGTACAGGCAGCAGACTAGATGAACTAATGGATCCCTTCTGGTTTCAAACTCAAATCATGATTTTTTCCCCACTATGTTCGACAGGTGGCTGGGTCCACCTTGGATTGCATGGTACTGTCCAAGCAACGCAGCTCAGAGCCTACTTCCCCCATTTGTGCCAGGGAATGAGGGGGGATTGAAGGTGGTTTTAGCAGTTTATCTCCCTCAGTTGCTACAGTGTTCTCCAGGCTATCTAGCTCACAGGCCTACACAGAGGGCTTCCCCTGGTTGTTGGCTGCAAGCTGGACTCCAGCTTTGACTCCCTGATGCCCAGCTGCCTGGCTACATGGAACAGTGCAAAGACATGTGCTGTAATTGAGTTCACTTCTGTGTGAAGGGAAAACTGCAGAACAAGAGTCAGCTTCAGACAGAGCAGGGAAAAGATAAAATAAAATGGCAGGGCCCTGGAAAAATAGTGAATTCAGTGGCAAAATTGCAAAAAATTCATGACAACTTGAGAAAATGCCAAATTACACAGCCACAGAATTGTGGAATTCATATGGCCCCAGTTGAGATGATTGGAACAAATAACATCTGTCAGAGCTGTTGTTTCAGGACTCTGCTGACACTAATAGAGGACATGGCATCACTTTACACTTGCTTCCTATTTTTCAAGTTATAACCACAAACATAAGAACTAGGAGTGTTTTGTTATTTTAAAATGAAAGGTAATATTCCAGAGCACAGTACTGCAGCAAAAACGTAAGTTCTGTAGCCTCAGAACCATGAAATACCTCCAAATATATTTCAGTTGTGTACATTAGGAGCATTATTCCATATTCCTTTTGCCAAAAAATCACATAATGAAGTCAAAGTCAGTGGGAGCCTTATTTTGTATTTTGTTTTGTTTTTACTTCAGTATGGAGTATTGAAGTGGATGGACCCAATATTTTACTGGTAGGACAGATTTGACCCGGAATTTAAATTCTGTAAAAATAAGCTTTTACAAAAATAATAACAACTGAAGTGTTTCTGTGATTTATTAAAGTTGTGATGGAAGCTTTTTTTTTAAAAATAAACATTTACTGAAGTTTTTGCAACCAAGCCATAGCAATATTATTCTAGTGCATTAGAATATGAAAGTGAAAAAATAAACTTAGCCAAAATTTTGAAAACTTCATAGGATTTTAGTCTTTCAGATGTAATAGTATAAGATGCTAGTAATATGATAAAGATAATTAAATATATAATTTTAACCTGACATTTTACCTTTAATTCTAATAATTTAATATGATATTACTCAATTAGAGAGGTCAGTTTTGTTCAGTTCAGAATAATTAAAGTCTTTAGATCCTTATCCAGCACGTATTGAAATCAATGTATTTAATGAATCAAGATTCGGCTTTTGTTTTATAAAAATATATTGAGTATTTAGCATTTATTAGACGATTTTCATCTGCAAAGAGCCCTCAACATTAATTTATAAATAAAATAATTTAGTAACAAAGTTTGGACTATTTCCAAATGGTTGAATGCATAATTCATCCAGAAACACTAAATGCATCCGATGAAGTGAGCTGTAGCTCACAAAAGCTTATAATAAATAAATTTGTTAGTCTCTAAGGTTCCACAAGTCCTCCTTTTCTTGATAGATTCTAGCTTCCCAAAAGAAGATGTCATTGTTCAGTGAGTGTTCCGAGTATAGTCAGTGGAACACCAAGAATGTGGTAAAATAGATTCTTAAGTTACTGCATAACTTTCCACATTCTCACTCATCAATTAAAAGTATACGAACACTGCTGTCAGTGCAATGCTCTTCCACAACATTAATTCTGTCCTTAAAGCTTTGCCTCCTCCCATAACGGAAGTCATCAGTCAGATGTTTGGAGTAGGCAGGGCTTTTGTGAGTGGTGATGATGACTCAGCACTGAAGTGCAGAATTGCAATGCAAATATGACAGGTTTCAGAGTAGCAACCCTGTTAGTCTGTATTCGCAAAAAGAAAAGGAGTACTTGTGGCACCTTAGAGACTAACCAATTTATTTGAGCATGAGCTTTCGTGAGCTACATCTCCCCCCACCCCGCTCTCTTGCTGATAATAGCTCATCTTAAGTGATCACTCTCCTTACAGTGTGTATGATAACACCCATTTTTTCATGTTCTGTGTGTATATAAATCTCCTCACTGTATTTTCCACGAAATGCATCCGATGAAGTGAGCTGTAGCTCACGAAAGCTTATGCTCAAATAAATTGGTTAGTCTTTAAGGTGCCACAAGTCCTCCTTTTCTTAATGCAAATATGGAGGAAGGAAGGAATGTAAGGAAAGAAAAAGAAAGACAATCAAAGGTGGAGGGGTGGGAAATAGCATAACAAGAAAAGGTAAAAGGAAGAAAGTAGAGGTAAAGGAATGAGATTAATTAAAAGAAAGGGAAAATGCATCTATTTCAGTTAAAAGATTTTAATTACACTGAATGGATATGGTGACATCACAGGTCATGCAATCAAAGCTTGCATAGTGAGTTAATGTGACTGAAATTTAAAAGTGATTTATAGTTTTGTATGCATAGTTTGGGTGTCTGTATATATAATTAAAAAAAGAACAATTTCTTGCTCTTTATTGCCATGTTTTATCCTACCCTCTTTCTCCTTCCCAATCCACCTTTCTTTCTTTCTGTTGTAAAATTTAGGAGACAAATGTGT